CATCTTGTTTGTTCTCTAAGGCAGACATTATTTACTACTTTAAGCTAAACTAAGGAGCTCTGGTAACGTAGTGGTTATGAATTGAGCTGCGAACCACAAGGTCAGCAGTTCAAAACTGCCAGCTGCTCCGCGGGAGAAGGCTGAGGCTTTCTGCTCCCATAAAGATTTACAGCCTTGGAAACCCTGTTCAGAGTCAGTATGGGTCAGAACCAACTCCACAGCACTTAACAGTAAAGCTAAACTATTGTTAGGTTTGGAGAGGAGTTTAGGGGTTAAATTTTAAAGATTAACTCAAGGTGATCATATCAGGGGTTCATCTAACCTCTGTGGTTCCAGAAAGTCAGACTTTTATGACAGTTTAGAATTGTTCATTTTCTCCCCTTTTGATCAGAATTCTATAGAATCTTTGATCAAAACATTCAGTAATGGTAGCCAGGCACCATCCAGTTCTTGTAGTCTCATGGCATGGGAGGTAGTTATTCATGGAGCTTATTATTGTAGTGTGTATTTAATAGTGATAACTGAAGATATTTATAATTACTTATAAAACCTAAATAGGAATTAAGAAATTCATCAGCACAATTAAGATATTTTTATATTGTGTTTCCTTTTTAACCCATAAGTGAACACAGAGACTTAGAATCACAGCTTTTGTTTTTCTTATCATTACTTTATTTTAATTGTTTTATAGCCAGTTGACATTATGAAAAACTTGATTTATAAGTGAAGTGCTATAGCATTATTAGTCCAATAAAAGAAAAAGTATTTAGAAAGTTTGTGTCCTTAGTCTTTTTTCAAGGGTATTTTAAAAGAACTTTGTTATAGTAGGTTAGCAGATTGTATTAGTGTGATAAAATGTATCTTCTCATTTTCCTTTATTTCAGGATCTGCTGTTTTGACTCTGCTGTTGGCTGGGTATTTGGCACAACAATACTTGCCTTTGCCTAGCCCTAAAGTGATTGGCATTGACCTTGGTACAACATACTGTTCTGTTGGAGTGTTTTTTCCTGGTTCAGGAAAAGTGAAGGTGATTCCAGATGAAAATGGGCATATCAGCATACCTAGCATGGTATCGTTTACTGACAACGATGTGTATGTGGGATATGAAAGCTTAGAGTTGGCAGATTCAAATCCTCAGAACACAATATACGATGCCAAAAGATTTATAGGAAAGATTTTTACCCCAGAAGAATTGGAGGCTGAAATTGGCAGATATCCATTTAAGGTAAGTGATTAATCTAAAAACTGATTTTAATTTCAGTCCAGCATACTATTTCAGATAATGCTTTGGCTTCATATTATAGAACATTCTACTTCAACTGACTTAATGTGCATAGAAATTATATTTTCACTTGTAATAAGAAATCCCACTCCTTCAGAGTGCTTTGGTGGCTCCACAGTGCTCTCAAGCATTTAAAGCCTCACTGTATTCTTGCTGTGTCGTCCTCACCATATCTGCTTAGCTCTTTAAAATGGTAGTTGTTGTTAAGTTCCATTGAGT